CCCCCGCCGCGCTCAGTCCGCCGCGGGCGCCACGCGGCGCACGGCCCCACGCCGACGCAGCGCCGCCCCAGCGGGCGGCCGCGCTCCGCCTCGGCGCTCAGCCGCCCGCGGCTCGCTGGCGGCGCCTCGGCGCCCCCAGCGCCCCGCCGGCGGGCGCCTTAGGGCGGCGCCATGGTGCAGGTGTTCTGGCTCGAGTACCCCGACCCGCTGGTCTGGTGGCAGCTCGCCGCCGTCTGCGCCGCGTGGGCGTGGGGTGCGTTCATCATCGGGTGCTTCGGGGTCGGAGGCGGGGTGATCTTCGTGCCGGCGATGCTGTTCCTGCCGGGCGTAGAGGCGCCCCTGGCGGTGGGCACCACGTTCTGCTCCGTGCTGCTGCTGAACGCCGCCCGCTGGCTCCAGCTGCTGTACTACGGGGACCTCGACGTCCGCAGCGCCCTGCTGCTGCTCCCGCCCGCCGCTGTGGGCGCCCTGCTGGGCCAGGCGCTGCTGCCCTACGTCCCGAGCTTCGTGGTGGCCTTCGTGGTCTCGGCCATCTCCGTTTTCGCGGGCGCGCAGACCACCAAGCGCGTGGTCCGTGAACGGCGCGCCGCGCGCGCGCAAGCGAGCGCCGCCGCCACTGCCGAGCCGGCCGCCGCTGCCGTCTCGGCGCCGAGGCTTGGCGCCGAGAGCGGGTCAGGCGCGTGCGGCGGCGAGAGCGTGGGCCCGCGGCCGATCGGCGCGCGGGCCGTCGTTTTGCACGGGGCGCGGCCCAGCGCGGAGTTGCGGCCCCACCTCGAAGGCACGGCCGCGGTGGCCGAGAGCCCGAGTGCCGACCTAGCCATGCCGGCGGCGGGCGGCTGCGACCTGGCCGGCCTCGGCGGTGCTCTGTGCCCCGGGGCGGCTTGCGGCGGCCCCGCCTGCCTCGGGGCGCCGCTCTGGCGGCGCAGCCCGGCGCCCCCGAGCGGCGCGCGGAGCTCCCTGGCGTGTCGCGCCGGCCCCAGCCCGCCCCAGGGCGGCCTCGGCGCCGCCGCCACTGCGAGCCCTCGGGGGCAGGCTGCCGGCGCAGAAGCCGCGGGGGCGCCACTGCGCTCGGGAGGCGGAGCGGAGGGCGGAGGGCGTATCGCAGAGGCGCCGCTGGGAACCCTCGGCCTCGCGGGCGGCGCCGCGGGCGGCGCCGGGCGCGGGGCCGCCGCGAGTGCACGGCTCGGGGGGGAGCCGGCGGCCCCTGCCAGGGCGCCGTCTCGCTCGTCTTTGCTGCTGGCCAGGGCAGCGCTGGCGGAGGTCCTGGCGGGCAGGTCTGCGGGCGACGTGGCCGCCTTGATGCTCATCAGCCTGGTGACGGCCTTCCTCTCCTCCCTCGCCGGGGTCGGGGGGCCTGTGATTTTGTTCCCCCTGTGGCTGATGTGGGACCCCACCACCCCCATGAAGCAGCTCGTCGGACTTTCGATCCCGTTCAGCTGTGTACTGGTCGTTTCGTCGGCAGTCGGCGCACTCACGTTGGGCACAGTGGACTTGGGGCTGGCCTCGATCTTCTCTGTCGTGAGCACGGCGTCTGCTCTGTTGGGTGGCATGTTCATGAAGCGCATGGCAGACAGCAAGTTGAAGCTTGTGGTCGGAATTGTCTTGATGCTCGTGGGGGTCGCGTCGGCAGCTCGCACTTTCATAAGCCTGGCAGCGTGAACAAAATATCGGCGACGAGAGCGCACGGACGGGACAATCCCAGCGCGCGCGTGGTGTGGTCGCTGCGCACGGGTGCCTGGAGGCCACAGGGCACGACTCCGACTGGGCACCCAGTGGGATTGCACCTGCCGCGCTGGGCGACTCCTGTGATGCTGCGGATGGGGAGGACGGCCCGGGGGATCCAGAGCGCCACGTGGCCGGGGGGGGGCGGCGGGGCCGCCTGGTCGGCGGGCCCGCCGGCATCACGCCGCCCATTTATGACCCTGAAGCTTAGATTGGCAACAGCTTCGCGGATTGAGGGCGGATGGTTTTCAAAATGTGATTCTCACCTTAGTTCCGCGCACATTCGTTTTTAAACAGTTGCTGCAGTTTTACGGTTTGAGGGCGGTTCTTTTTGAAAATGTGGTTCTCGACGTAGCGTTGCTAGAGTTTCACGGATTCCCATGATCAACGTACCAGAAACGATTTTTGGAAGGGTTCTGGATCATGAGGGCGCAACAGTTACGTTGATTCGCGGTGTTCAAGTCCCAGGAATGGCGGGCGTTCTAGCACGATTCAGGACCGTTGAGACGCAACAGTCAGGTTGATCAGTGGCGCTGGAATCCCGAGAACAATGTTTTGGATGCTTCAGGGTCTTCAAGCGGTCGTCTTCCAACGAGCCAGTTCCCACAGTGGCTGTGAGCCGATGTAGGGGCCTAATTATGAAGAGGGAGCTTGGAGGGAGGGTTTCTTCCAGCATCGTTGCTGACTCTTGGGCTTACACTGGTCCTCCTCCTCATCCTCCTCCTGGCTCACGCAGGGTCGCCGCCGACACCGCCCGCCGCCCCCCCCCCGGGCCCCCGGAGGAGAGCGATGTGGCAGGGCCCGCCTAGCAGCCCGTGGCCCGAGGCCCCCGCCGCCGCCGGCGGGATGACGCGTCCAGCCAGGCGCGGGGCGCCGCCGGCGCAGCGGAGGAGCGGGGGCAGCTCCAGCCCCGCGTCGTCGGGGGAGGACGCCGTCCATGGATATCCTGCTGCCCAGGGATGCCTGGCCTCGATGGGCCTGCTCGCGGGCGGCGGGCGCGGCGGCGCCGCGCGCCACAGGCACGCGTCCCCGCACAACTTCGACTGCTGCTCCGCGGCGCAGGCAGAGCGCGACCTCGGTGACCACGTGGCCCAGACCTCGCCCACGGGCCGGCGGCGCGGCCGTGGCCGCAGCCAAGGCATTTCGATGGAAGAGATGCGCTGCCTGCTGACCGACTTCCACGCCCGCATTCTTGCCGAGGTGCGCGAGGAGCTCCAGCGCGAGCTCCAGGGCGCGGCGCGTGCCGTGCGGGTGGGCGCCAGGGATCATCTTGAGGACCCAGACCCCCTCAAGGCATGATCAAGTCACGACGGATTCCTTTTGTTCTTCTCGGCCTCTGGGGGCCTTTACCGGGCCGCGGGGCCGTCAACAAAACGACTCAATATGAAAAGCGGGTCCCAGGGAATGGGTCGAGACCGCTGGGGTCGGCGCCATGAAAGACTCATTACGTCGGGGGTTGGATAATGGAGAAGGAGCATCTGGATTAGCAAGGGCTTTCGGAGGAGGAGGGGGGAGGAGGCAGGAAGGAGGAGGGAGGAGGGAGGAGGGGGACGCAGGAAAAGGTGGAGGAGGGGTAGGGGGGGTAAGCGGAGGAGGAGGAGCAGGAGTGGGCGGATGACGGGGAGGGCGGGGCAGTGTGAGCGGAGAGTTGTTCCAGGGCGAGCTGGGCGGCGAGCTGGCGGCCGTGCGCGACGAGGTGCGGGCCCTGCGGTGGTGCGCCAACGGCAGCACGTGCATGGGTGGCTTGTGGCAGCTGCGCGGCCGAAGACGGTCCCGCGGCGCCGCGGAGGGGCCCGCGGGCCCCGCCGGACCAGCGGGAGATGCCCGCCCGGGCGGCGCCGAGGAGCCTTGGGCGACTGAGGCGGCGGCGGCGGCGGCGGCTCGGGAGTCGGGCCTCCGAGGGGCCGCCGTCTCCTGGCAGCCCTTGCAAGGCGCGGCCGGGGTGCCCTGCAGCGGCGGCGGCGGCTGCCCGTCAGCGGCTCCCGCCGCGCCCCCCGCGGCGCCCTCTGCGTCGCTGGCCGCGCCAGCGGCGCCCGCGGCGGCGGCAGGCGCCGCCACGGCCAACCCTGCGCCGCCCGCGCCGCCCGTGCCGCGGAAGGCGGGACTCCTGGGGCCGACCGTGAGGAACTTCGAGCGGGCGCTGGAGGGCCGCGGCGCGGGGACTCCGCGCGAGGTCCGTCGTGTCCCGCTGCTGGAAGGCCTCGAGGCATACGCGAGCGCGCTGGACGCCATGGGCGGCAATATGGGGAGTTACCTCGTGGCCAACACGAAGAAGCTCCGCGCCTCGAAGGCCGACCCTGGCGAGGGGGGCTATCGCGCGTGGGCGCTCAGCGAGCTGCCGGTTCACGAGAGGAACGGGTACAAGGGCTATGTGGACGATTCGGCCTGGATGGCGAACTTGTGGATCGGCCGCATGCTCGAGTTCTTCGTGGAGCTTTTCGCGCAGCTCTCCGGCGGCGCCGAGACCGGCAGCGCCGCGGAGGTGGCCTACAGGCAGACGCTGCAGAACCATCACAGCTTCCTGCAGCGGGCCGCGTTCACGCAGGCTATCAAGCAGCTGCCTGACCGGCGACACATCCTCGCCCGGCTGAAGGGCAGCGCCGAGCTTGGCGACGCAGAGAGGGACATCTCCGAGTTCGTGGCCCTTGGCCGGCCGATCGCGAGCTTCTGCCTGCGGCTGAACGAGGAGCTGGACGCGCGGCTGCAGGCGGAGAGGCGCGCCTACGTGCGGAGGTGAGCCTTGGGCAATGAGCTGGCAGGCATGATCCGTTCAGTTTCGACCTTTTTTACACGATTTGATGTACGCCTCGTCTTGCGGCCTCTTTCTGACATCACGCCGCGGCATCTGTGTTGTTCTCTGTCGCGTGCTTGTCATTCCTCCTCGTCCTCCTCCTTCTCCTCCCTCTCCTCCTCATCCTCCTCCGTCCACATGGCGGCAGGGCGCCATGGACGGGGGCACAGCAGACGGGCGCACCGGGGCCCGCGGGTCTCCACGTCGTGGCTTTGCCCCCATTGCAGGTGGCCCTTGGGCGCCGCAGACGGGGGCACAGGTAAGGAGGGCATGCAGTAGAGGCCCATGCCAAGAAACGCTCTGCTTGCCTCCAGGGTGCCCTGGGTTTCTTGGGTTTCAAAGGTTTTGCCATGGAAAAACGTGACGTTCCCACACCAGAAACCGATGGACGTCCTGGGGTCGCAGGGTTGGGTTTCTTGTGGAAGGTTTCTTGTGGTCGAGCTCCTACTGTCCGAAAAAGCTTAAGCCCCCGCTCAGCCAAGCCTCGTTTACGAATCGACTACACGTGAGGCGCTCCTAGACGGGCCCCTTGCTTTCGAGGATCGAAGGAGTTGCCATCTCTTCCGCCGCTGAGGGCGGCGGAAGGTCGGCGGAAGTAAAACGAACGAGGCCGCCTCCGCCGGCGGAAGGTGGCGGGAGGCAGCAGAAGTACAACATGCGCCCCAAGAGATGAAAACGTGTTTGGTTTGGGGTTTCGGAAGTCGCCCACGCAAGAGTGACCTTTCTTCGCTGGAGTGACGTTTGGTGCAGGCCCACCGCAGGCTGGGGTCCCACCGCAGGCTGGGGTCCCCCGATCACCGAACGCCATGCGGCAGTAGCGTCTTGCGCGCTTGTGCTTGGCCACCCCCCCCCTGCGGCCCCCCAAAAGCCGCGCACCAAAGGTCACTCCTGCCCGGGGTCGCTCTGGCGTGTAGCCGAGCGAAGCCCCGACGACGATGTGAAGGCCGCGCTTGACTGCCAGGGCGCCGCTCCTCGCGAAGGGGGTTCGCCCGGCCGCGGAGCGCCGGGCGATTCGCTGCGCACGTGCTCCCGCGTCGCGTGCCCCGCCCCGGTCCGCTCGCGGGCGGAGGGCCGGGGCCGCGCGGGCCCCGAGGGACGGGGACCAGTCGCTCTCAGGGCGCCCCTCCTTCCGCACTCTTGCCGTCGGCGGCGAGGCAGCGGCGGTCCGCGCCAGCGCGTGGCTCTCTATCCGGGGCAGCCGATAGGCTCACTGGCCGGCGTGCGAGAGGGGTGGGGGGGGGGAGAGCGACGGGAGCGGCCGCGCGAGGGGAATGGGCAGGGGAGCGCGCTCAGACGTGGAAGAGTGTGCCGCGTCGAGCGGGCCGGAGCGGCCGACCGAGGCAGCGGTGACCGTGGCAGCAGCCCGGGCCGAGGCGAGCCTCCTCGCGAGCATCCGCGTGCCCAGAGCCCCTCGCGCTGTGCAAAGGTCGCGGCGGGAGGTGTTTGTTCTTCGTCTGCTCGGCCTCCGGGGGGCCCTGCCGGGCCTCGGGACCGCCAACAAACGATTCGGAGGATGAAGAGCCCGTCCTGGGAAGGGGTCAAGACCCCTGGGGGTCGACGCTGCGAGCACAATCACGACGTCGGGGGTCTGGACACGGGGATCCGTCGCTCCAGAGCGCCAATCCTCGCGAACATGCACACGACTAGGCGCTGTGGCCCTGCAGCTCGAGCGCGTGCCGTCCGCACCACGCGCCAAGTGCAGGCAGAGCGCGGAGCAGAGGCGATGCCAGTGCAGATGGATTAAAGCATTGCTCCAGGGCGTCCCTCGGGCGTTGCGCAGTGGGTGGGGCGAGGAACGTGGGGGTGGGGGGTGGGGGGGGCGCCCCCCCTGGGGCCCAAAAGGGGCACGAAAGGTGCACGCTTCCTCGCCCCCCCCCCCATCCTTGAGACCCGACGTGGCGTAAGCCCTTTCTGTGCGTCATTATTCGGGCCCGGTCGATCTGTCAGGGTCCCAGGGCCCGAAGTTGAGCGACAGCGCGCGGAGTGAGACAGTTGCAACGCCAGGATGGTCGCCCCCCCATGAAGAAGCGTTCTCAGAGCGTCCCAGAGCGCGCGCGCGTGGTCAGAGCACGTTCTGGGGGCTTTCCTGGAGAGGGCCGCGCCGCCCGAGGCGTCCCGCAGGCCCGCGCGCGCGCGCTCCTCAGAGAGCTCTCTTCGTCCAAGCTTTGTCCCCAGCCTTGCCTTCGTCGGGAGGGGAAGAACACACAGACACAACACACACACACACACAAGCGTCGATCCCCGGGAGAATATGAGACATGTTGGGAAATGGGGGGAGACGAAAACCCAGAAATTATGGGAAGGTGTAGGGGATCCTGGGATTTGTGCCTATGTGTTTGTTTGCACCTGGGCCCCTGAACCTAGTCCTGCGCAAGAAGTTCAGCAGCCTGAAACACAGAGTCAAGACGCTGCAGGAAGGACCACCTTGGGAGGCCCTTGAGGAGCCATGGCTTTCGGCCAGCCTCTTCGAGTTAGGTCGCGGGCCCCACTCGTGGCCGGGGCTGGCGTGACCGGCTCCCTGCTCAGCGTTCCTTACAGTAGCACGATGGTTGTGCTCCTATACCGATGGCCGACGTCATCTGCACCTCGGCGTCGATCTTCCAGGATCCCCTCAGCTTCTGAAGGCGCATCCCTGACGTCGTTAGTCGTTCTCTGCCGTCGTTCGTCGCTCCTTGTCGTTCGCCGTTCCCTGCCGTCGTCGCTTGTCGTTCGTCGCTCCTTGTCGTCGTTCGTCATCGTTGAGATCGTCGTCGGTCGTCGTCGCCGCCATCGCCGTGATCGTGGTCGTCGCCGTTGAGGTTGGCTTGGTTGTCGCCGTCGCCGTGGCCGTCCTTCTATCCCTACTCCCCCTTCCTTCCTTCTTCCCTTACTGCTACTACTACCTCTTCCCTTTCTAGTCCTATACGAGCTGCGAGTTGGGGCTTTTGCCAAGCAAAGGGCGTGTCCCCATAGAAAGGTTCTTCAACCCCGAAGGGCTGTCTAGTGGCGGTCCGCCCTCACGTAGACCTGGAAGCTTGGCCAGTGATCCGTATTCTCCTCCTTCTCCTCCTCCTCCTGTCATCATACTCCGTCTCCTCCTTCTTCCCGTCCTCCTCTCCTCTTACTCTATATCCTCCTTCTCCTCGTCGTTCTCCTCACCGTCCCTCTGAAGCCTGAAGCTGGTGGCGGCACTGTCGGTCAGCACTTCCGCCAGCGGCCTCCCCAGGCCCGACGTCACGACGTGTTTTTGCATCGTGCCTCCCCAGAGGTCTGCCCAGACATGATCGCTTCGTAGCATACAACGGGACGGGAGGTTTTTGTCCGTTTTCGGCCTCTGTGGGCCCTCGCCGGGCTTCGGGACCGTCAAACAAATATTCCGGATGAACAACCGGTCCTTGGGAAAAGATCGGGACTTCCAGGGACCCCGCATTGAAATTAGCTTGACGAAGGACCCAGCCATATGCAGCTGCGAGTATCGCGAGGCAGGTGAGACGAAGGATGGGGGGCCAGCAAAAGGACTGCGGCGTGGACGAGCGGGGGAAAGCTGACGCGGGCGAGCGGGGAGTTTTCTTGGTTCGGGCGGAGCTCCGCGCATTTTGTCTCCGTTTTCTTCCCAGCTCAATCTCCCCGAGGAGGAGAAAGGAGGTGGAGGAGGAGGAGGAGGAGGAGGAGGAGGAGGAGGAGAGGAGGAGGAGAGCGACGAGGAAGGGGAGAAGGAGGTGGAGGGGGAGGAGGAGGAGGGGAGGAGGAGGAGGGGGAGGAGGAGGAGAGGAGGAGGAGGAGGAGAGGAGAGGAGGAGAGGAGGAGGGGAGGAGGGAGGAGGAGGAGGAGGAGGTCTCCGGTTTCTTCCCAGCTCAATCTCCTCGAGGAGGAGAAAGGAAAGGAGGAGGAGGAGGAGGGAGGAGGAGGAGGAGAGCGACGAGGAGGGAGAAGGAGGTGGAGGGGGAGGAGGGAGGGGGGGAGGAGGAGGAGGAGGAGGAGGAGCAGGAGGGGAGAGGAGGAGGAGGAGGAGGAGACGGAGAGGGAGAAGGAGGAGGAGGAGGGAGAGGAGGAGGAAGGAGGAGGGAGGGGGAGGGAGGAGGAGGACGAGGAGGAGGAGGAGGAGGAGGAGGAGGAGGAGGAGGAGGAGGAGGAGGAGGAAGTCCGCCTGGCCCGCGGTGGCCCAAGCCCCGTGCGGGGCCGTCTTCCCAGCTCCTTCTCCTCTCTCCCTGCCGCCGCTGCGCGTTGCATCGGTACCCGCCCGGCCCGCGGTGGCTAACGCTCCGTGTGCGGCCGTTTTGTCCCACATTATATTTTCCCAGCTCACGTCTACCTCCTTCGTTTGTCCCACCGCCCAGGTGGCCGCGATTCTGCGCCGAGCGCAGCGTGGAGTCCCCGCGACGCGCGCCAGTCGTCTCGGGGCAGTCCCGGCGATGCGCGCGGGTCGTCCGTGGCACCGAGCAGAACAACGGTCGGCTGACAAAGCGCCAAGCGTCTGGCAGAGCGGGCAAGGAGGGTCGGGCAGCTCCTGGAGGCAGAGCGCCAGGGAGTCCTCGCGACGCGCGCTGGTGGAGCTCCCTACGGGGCAACGAACCGCGTGAGGGGTATGCTTAAGAGGGCATCGGGCGCATGCGGACCCTGCCACTGGGGCCTTCCGTGGAGCTCTCTACGGGGCCACGAACCGCGTAAGGGGTGTGCTAAATGGGCGTCGGGGCGTCGGGCGCATGCGGGCCCTGCCACTGAGGCCTTCGGTGGAGCTCTCTGCGGGGCCCGAACCGCGTGAAGCGTATGCCAAAAAGGGCATCTGGCGCATGCGGATCCTGCCACGGGGGCCTTCGGTGGAGCTCTTGATGGGGCCACGAACCGGGTGAGGGGTGCGCGAATATGGGCGATGACGGCACGCGGAAAGCAGATACAGGATTGAGAGAAGGGAGGAGGGCGAGGAGAAGAGGAGAGGAGGAGAGGAGAGGAGGAGAGGAGAGAGGACGCGGGGCGCTGTTTCTTCAAAGCGAGGGCCCAACACTCCAGACCCCCGACGTCGCGATTTTTCCACAACGTCGACCCCCCGAGGTCTGGACACCTTTTCCGGGACCGGTTTCTTCACCCCGAGTCGTTGACGGCCCCGAGGCCCGGCAAGGGCCCTCCGGAGGCCGAAACTAGCGGAGAACGTGATTTCTTCACAGGGCGAGGGGGCCTGGGACCACAGAAGGGTGGGGCAAAAACCAGGACGCAACATGTCTGGGCGGACCTTTTCTCCCTGGGGCCAGCTTCTCACCACAAGTTTTCTCTCGCCTCGCCGGGCCCCTGGAGGCCGGCAGTTGCTACAAATGTTTCTTCGTGAGTTGGTCACAACGAGAGGATGTCTGCAAGCTGGAGGGCTTCTCCGAAGGGCTTAGGCGACCCATCCTCTTCCTCCCTCCTCCTCCTCCTTCTCCTCCTCCCCGTCCCCGCTCCTCCCTCTTCCCCTCCTGCCTTCGGGCGCGCCCCATGAGCAGGCGACGGCCCGGTGCCTGAGCCCAGGCCGGGCCGGCGCGGCGCTCGGCTCCGCTGGTGGGGAGGGCCCCTGCTTCTCCGTCCGTCGTCTTCCCCGTCGTCCACTTTCTCCTCCCTCCCTCCTCCTCCTCCTCCTCCTCCTCTCCTCCTCCTCCTCCTCCTCCTCCTCTCCTCCTCCTCCTCCTCCTCCTCCTCCTCCTCCTCCTCCTCCTCCCTCCCCTTCCTCCCTCCGTCCCCTCCACCGCCGCCCCCATCCCCTCCTTCTTCCCCCCCCTATCTCCCCATCTCTCTTTCCCCAACCGAGCAGCATCAGTGACACGCGCGCTGGGCAGCAGATAGGCGCGAGCACGATAGTACGAGCAGCACTGGCGAGCGAGCGACATGGCGCATCACACGGGCGAAAACCGAAACAGCACCCTGCAGAGAGGGTAAGGCAGGCGGCATGGGGGGGCGCGCCTGGCGGGGCGTCTCCTCCTCCTCCTCCTCCTCCTCCTCCTCCTCCTCCTCCTCCTCCTCCTCCTCCTCCGCCTCCTTGTCGAGCTGTGCTGCGCAGGCTGCGCTGCTCTCCGGAAGCTCTGGCGCGAGCCCGAAGCGCTTAAGCGGGCGGCCGCCACGGCCACACTCCACCGCCCGCCTCGGATCGATCCAACCACCCCCACCGTCGCAGCCAGAGCCTCACCCCCTGCCCCTTCCCACGAAGGGAGCAGAAATGCTCCAGAGGACAGGCCCAAGAGTCCAAGGGGGCGGCGGGGCGGCTCGCCCCCAGGGTCAAACCACGGTGCTGAGGGTCAGGCAGGGAAAAGACCGCGGGCAGCTCGATTGAGCTGTCGTCGACGGTCCTTCGTGGTGGCCCTACGCGGGCAGACTTGGTCCAGAGTTCTGAGGCCACCCCAACTGGAGCTTCAGCAGATGACACAACAAAACAGTGCTGCCACCACTGAGGGGGAAGCCATCTGGGCCGTCAACGCCTGCTCTTTAATGGAATTACCTGCAAGTGAAACGAGCTTCTTTAGCCCATCAGGGTCTACAGGGACCGTAAACCTTCTGCCGCCCCCATTGTCTTTGGGCGAATTGGGGGAGCCGCAGTCTGCGACGTGACTGGAGCTCCCCTCCCTTTCCAGGCAGTTCATGAGCATCATGGGGCCTTGGGACCAGCAAAGCTGGCCTCCTGAACTCCTGCCCATCTGGCGGCCTGGGGGGATGTGCGCAGATAAAAAACAACTGGAAAATCGGTTGGCCTGCTTGGTCGATGGGTGCCAGGCCGCACCAGGTTGGGCAAGTCGGTCCACAAGGTCAGACCCTAATGTTTGCAGCACTGCAGGCTGATCCGCATCATCGTCAGTCCAGCTGGCATGAGCCAGGATCTTGACGCAGGGGGAGGAAGGTCGTCGAAGACGTGGAGTATACGGCATACGGGCCCACATGTTATCACGATTGCAACTGCTGCTCTGGGCGAAGGTTGGACTGCCGAGGCAACTCGGCGTGGCACTGCAACCGGTGTGGAACGTGGAGCCAAACGGACTCACACAAGCACCTGCCGCAGCCATGTAGATGGCATAGTCTTCCCCATCTCGCGCTGACTGCAGCGGTGCTATCTCAAGTGGAACTGCACCGTAACACCGTGCAACGAACTGGCCAGCCTCATACACCTGCACGAGTCCCCATCCGAAGGGCTTCCGAAGAACATGCCTAGCCCATGCATGCGACAAGGTTCTGGCCTGCAAGGCTCTCACATCTGACAAGGCTTACTTGGCTAGGATTTCTAAGGCCTGGCCGTCCAGGAAATCCGCTCTTTGGCAGAGGAAACTGGCCTGGAGGGGCGCAAGGGCGAGGAGTGCAAGCCGTCCATCTGCCACTGCGATCGTGCGAATATCTAGGGCCTGCCGCCACACTTCGCGAAACGACATGATCCCAGACCCCCTCGCGTTGTGAAAAAAAACGCCACGGAAGGTTTTTCGCTATTTTCAGCCTCCGGGTGCCCCTACCAGGCCTCAGGGCCGTCAAAGAACGGCTCAGGATGAAAAATTGGTCCCGGGGGAAGGGTCCAGACCTCTGGGGGTCGACGTTCTGAAAAGATCATGTCGTGGGGGGTCTGGGATACAAGCGCACGCTGGGGATATGACCCTGTGCTGAGTCAGCCCGTGCTCCTCAGGCTCCGCCTGAGCGCAAGACAGAACAAGCTGAAGGTTAACCAGCATAAGCCTACCGCCCCAGATCGCCCGTGCCGAGAACTGCACAGCCTGGCGGCGGTGAGACACTGAAGGGTCGATCGCTTGCCCCACGGCCGAGGAGTACCACCGAAGCACCACGGAGGCCGTGCACTTCTACTTGTTGGCGGATCGAACTGCCGAGACACGGACGGCGCGGGCCTGCCTACTCCAAAGCCCGGTCGCCGCAGCCCCCCATAGGGTGCCAGCTTGAAGACCAGTTTGTCCGATGTTGTGAGATGTGTCTCCTGCTCGTATTGGCTGCCAGAGTCTCCAGCCCCTCTTGGCTCCTTTCCTAGGCCTGCTGGCCAGGGTGCGGTTCCGTCTGGCATTCGCATACGTGGCGTCCGAAGCGAGGTTTTTGGTGACCTTTTTGCGTTTGAATCCTGTGTGGTTCCAGGCACCGGCCAGGTCCTGGGGGAGTTCAGGGGAAGAGGCGATGAAGTGTGATTCCTCTCCCGGCAGCACCAACTCCCAGAGTCAGTGTCCAACTTCCCCTTGCTCCTTGGTGACCGTCCCCCTTGATCCCAGGCATTGCACATGTACGCCGTCGACTGCATGTCTTCCATGCACACAAGGGGTGTGCTCCTGAGTGGAGAGCAACAGGCGGACGAGCAGCATGTTGGCGAAGATCGCCCTCGGGGCTGCAGCCGGCCAGGATGGTCCCAGCTGCTTGGAACACATACCTGACAGCACTTTGGAAGCTGATGATCTTTGGCCCAGAAAAGAGCTTAGATGCTGCGTAAACCAGGCGAACTGGCATCGGGGTTGCCTAAGCTTTTTTCATTATTATGAGGTGAGCCACTCTCTCACAGAACCTAGAAGTGTCAGTGAGCAGCGTGGCTGCCTCAAAGTTGGAGAGTCTGGCCACGTGCGCTAGGACGGTGTGCTCCCACCCTGCGTGCTCACATGTCTTGCCTCTCGTGCCCAGAGAGGTTGTCCAGCTGGCGCGTGCTTTCCTACTCTCGCGCTAACTGCTGCCGCAATCTGGGCCAGACCTTCATGAGGCTACCAATCAACACTATAAGTCTGCCCCTGTTTCCATCTAGCTTCCCCGTGAACGCAAGATTGCCCGCCATAGGCTCGAGAGGTCCGTCTCCCTCTCCGAGATGCGGCGCAGCAGGAAGGCATCGCCGAGCAGCAGCCAGCCGTGCGGGTCGACTTCATCAACTCCCAGCCCCACATCCTGGCGGAATTTGCTCACAGCTTGTTTGAGCGGGTCCAGAACGCGCGCGCGGTGGGCGGGGTAGCTGCGAGTTGGGCGCCGCAGCTTCTGGAGCAGCCGCCACGCTAGATTTCGCGTTGCCCCAGCAGGTGGCTCACTCTAGCATGAGGTGCGAGACCATTGGACCCCTTTGAAGCTGAAGCTCTTCGGGCCCTGAGGCTGAGCACCGGAGGAGTGTTCTCGATGAACTTGTGGGCCTGCTTGCCCTGAAGTTGTGGACCTGCTTCTGGCGCAGAGCATCCTCCATCTCGGTCAACCATGCACTCCAGAGAGCCTCCAGGGTAGCCCCAGGGGGCGCCTGTCCAACGGTCCACGTCCACTCATGTTCCAGCGGCTTCTTCGCACAGCCCACCCGGGGCTCTGTCGGCAAGGCCTCCCGCGAGGCCCTCGCCGTCACGGGGGCGCGGAGACGGAACCCGTGGATGGTGATCTGCGCCTGCGCACGCGGTCCGCATGGCGCCGCACGAGGCGCAGAAATTTAAACGATGTGGCTGGCCACGCCGCACGAGACCACAACGAAGTCGAGGCGCCGACTCGTGCCTGACCCAGCAGAAAAGTTAGCACGGGCAGGCGCCGCGATGCTGGCTTCCAGCAGCTGGCTCCAGTTGACGGGGCCCGAGGATGTAGGCGTCATATCGAGCCCCCTCCCAAGATCCAAGGGTAGTGGCACCCCTGTCAGTAGTTCGAAAGATCCTCCAAAAGCTCCAGGGCCTCCAGCGTGTCCCCAGAGCACTCCTTACCTGCATGGGCGTAGGTGGTGACCCGCAGGGCCCCAGCAGGCACAATTGCATCAAGCATCATTGCTGGGGCTCTGCCCCCGCTGAAGCTCTCGAGCCCATTTGCTTGTGGGTGACCTCCTTGCTACTGACGCGAGTGGCTACAGCTGCCAACGTGAGCCACTCTCCTGTGAATCCCACCTCTCGCGTTCTTCCTCCTTCAATTGCACTGTGGAATGCGTTGTAAGAGTGTTCGTGGTCATTCGCAGCCTCCGGCTGGCTGCACTGAAGCCGAACTCTTCACCAATTTAGTTTTTGTTGCACATCCCCGACGTGTTGTGGATCCAGTTTTCTCCTCTGGCTGGCCCGCTCCGACATATGAGGCGCCATGCAGTTTGCTTGGGCCTTTGGATGGCTTGCAGCCTTTTCCAAACGAGTTTCTTGGACACCCCGAGCATGGGCCTTCATCTCGCCCTGGGAGGGCTGCCACTCGCAAACGTTCTATGAAGCTGTTCCGCGCATTGGCGCCTGGCATTGGCACGCCTAGGCCGTTGTGCTATCCGTATGTGTGTTTCTCGGAGCTCATCTGCTTGCCCGTGGGTCCCCTCATCAGAATCATGCGGGTGGGCCTGAAGCCCAAGCTGCCTGGACCGATGGTGATATCGCACTCTGGCTCTCTCTCTCTCTCTCTTTCTTTTTTTTCTCTCTCTCTCTCTCTCTCTCTCCCTCCCTCTCTTTCTATCTCTTTCCAGGGCCGTCTGCGCTAGTCTCTCGCTGGCCTACGTTTCGCTTCGATGATGGCACAGCTATTTGGTGATTCAGCGTCCTGCAACAGTTCGCAGAACCGAGATCCAGCCAGACGTCGGAATACGAAAAACTCACAGCACT